ACATTTTGCTTACGTTTTCTAAAAAATGAAGTGGAACACATTTCAACACATACAAATATTTAGGCTCATTTTCATGCCAAATATATGGCTCATTAGTATAAATGTCTAGGAACGTAAAATTTATTTTACAATAATGCTATTCAAAAACAGATATAGTCTTTAAAATTTCTACCAAGTTGTCAGGCATAGACCTAGAGACCCCTATTCAAACCTCTATGTAATAAGTTAAGTTAGAAATTTGGTACCATAAGTGACAGTTCATAAATATAGAAAAGCTCAGACTTCAAACCATGCAAATTTATTGTAACCCTTTACCCATCTCCACATCAGAGCTCAGCAAATTAATTCTTTTGAGAAAAACTCAAAATTTTTTTTCTGTCAAAGATTAAGAAAATTATCAAATGAAAAATTGCAGTTAAGGACAGCTTAATGCCATGAATGTTTCTTAGGCATTTCTACCAGACTATTATCTTCTGTAAGTATATGCACAGGTGTATATAGCAATCACTAGTAGCATTGTATTTGCAAATACAACAGAATGTAACCAACATGTCTTTAATTATATAATTACATGAATGTTAAAATTGGTTCATGTGTCAAGGCCACTGTTATGATAAATATCTTTTCATATGATCAAAGCTCGCTTAAATGTAAACTGAAATAATTTAGTTAGAAATTATACTGATCATCAGAAAATTACCTAATGATCAGAAAAATACTTTATGGTTGTTTTGCCAAATTTCAAGGTTTATCTGCATACATTGGAAGACATTTACTTTATAGAAAATGCTATTCATACATCAATAGCCCTTGGAATTATGGCAAACAATCTGGATAAGAGCGTAGATTAACACACCCATCTCTACATGAGGTGTTCAGTTAGAAAAGCAGACAATATGTGACATGGGACAACATTTCATGTATGTGAAATACCTAGGTTTAATACCATTCCAGTCAAATTGTCAAAATAAAAAGCTTCATGGATCATAAGACTCAAAATCACAGGTTATAGTAAACAGCTTCTCATGTAATCAATGTTAGTTTTCTCAAATCTTAAACAATACAGGTATAACTGTCCAATTGAATGATCAATGATCATAAACGAAAAAGCCCCAAACATTTGGTTTATGATAAAGTAAATAATAGTATGGCACCTTATGGCTACAGATTTTGTCCATTGAAATATATTGCAGAAATGTAGGATTTCGCTGCCATATAACGGCCACGATTCCCCAAGCATTAAAGAAATCATAGCTAAAAGTCCTTCGGCAACAACAATTTTAGAAGCATCAATCTGCTTACCATACGCCATATTAACATAAATCGCATCACACACTCGCATAAATTGACTTTGATATATTGCATTCATGCATACACTTCAATTTGTCCTTTACTTACGATTTTCGATGTAAATTTCTGCTGATAAAACTCAAAACAATGTTGGCTTGCTTTTGAACATCAATGACTGAAATGTCGCTCGTGAGATCGTCTTTGCCAAGCATTTACAATTCATCCATAAATTTTTCACCCTCTTGAAAAATTCCCAGTTTGGAAAGCAGCATTCATGTCAACATACGAATTTGTAAAAGATTTCCATAAATTCCATCTGATTGTAGTTTAGTTTCTATCATGCTTTAGAAAATTACTAAGAAACGATCAAACATTCAATTCAGACAGTGAGCTTGACTATGTTAGTTCAGTTGGCTATCAGTCGAAATCGGTCAAACCAATCACAGTAAGACAAAAATTCAAATGAACCAATTGTAAGATAGCATTGGACTCCTTATAGGTCCGGCCACCCTATTATCGGTCGAGATTATTCCAGACTGTCCACTGATCTGGCCATTGACCAATAAAATAGCGTTTCTGGCGTTCATAGACTCCTTTATAAGTCGAACCAGTCAAGCCACCCCGCTTATCAGTCGGTTATTCCAGGTCAATTAAAATTCAACTGATCTGGTTACCAAGGAGATGTTCGTTGCATTAGTCATTAGTTTTCAATAATAAATAAAGCTGGATTTTTATCACGAAGTAAATGCGATAATAAAGTAAGAATAATTAATGAATTTTTAATTAATATGAATAGGTAATTTTTGAATTTCAAACATCAGTCGCGCGACGGATTTGACATACTCTAGATCCGCCCCTGGGCCATGACGTCATTATACCAAAATATAAACATTAAACAACGCCATGGCCTCAGTTTGTAACACACCGTGCCAATTTTGTGCGCGAAACTGGCTGTTCTTAATTGTTATAATCACGACTGCTACAATACATTTCGCGCCTATTGTCTTGCAATTTATGTATGTAGAAGATATCTGTAGCATGTAATACAAGATTATGATATTGACAAGAGCTTCCTTTTGCGTAGTAGTTTTGATATTTGTATCCGGTAGATTTTAGCGTTATATATAAGTCTTTCGTATGAGCTCCGAAAGTGAGTTCAATGTACTAGAACGCTATTAAATTTTGTGATCATTTTATTCACTAGCGAAGAAGTTATTTACAACAGTCGTGAGTGTTCTATGTGTTAGAATTTATTTACAGGCTTTTTGTATATTCGGTTAAAGAAGGTGCAGTTATTACACAGCGGATAATGTACTTGAAATTTGAGTAGTTTTACGTAATTATAAAGTTAAGTGCGTAAGTTTAAGTAGCGCGTTTGAGTAAGTGTAGGATTGGCTATTTCCTCTATTGCTAATACATGAATCTTGATGAGTAATGTACGCACGTTATGTACGTCACTACAAGATATCATGTAACTGATGTAAGGTATAAAAGCCGCGAACCTCACCCCCAGCGCTTGCCTATTAAATTCGGTCACCGCACGCCACTGTAGAGGGGAAGTTGGTTGATAGTTGGGTATGGGGCGCGAAGTATTTCTTTATTATTTACGGAATTTTTAATGTTTAATTTCATTATTTATTAAATAACCAAACGTAATAGATTGGTTATTTCAAATAACCATTTTTTGGACTAGCATAAGTTTGGTTATATCGAATAATCAATTGACAAAATTTGGTTATTTAATAAATAACCATTTTTATTTCGGCGCCGATTTGGTTATATCAAATAACCAAATAATTTTGTTACACTTGGCACACTTGAGATGACGTACGTTCGAGTTCTACTTACCCTCTCCCGCTGTGGAAAGTTATGAAACGTGGCTTCCGGTTTAATATTACACACTGATTTAAGCAGAAAGCGCGCAAAACAAGGCATGGCCATAGAATAGAGAATAATAGAAGGGCAACTCGCGTCGGTAACCTTTAATGTAAGCGTGGCGCGCAGTTTGTTTCGCGCATACCGGAAATGTGACGGCCGCCATTACCCTGGCCAGTAAAGTGTGCAACATTTACTATGAAAATATATGGAGTGGAAGCCGTAAAGTGGGTTAAAATGTAGATTTTTTTGAGCTGTTGGCTGTTTTTGGCATCTTTTTGAAAGAAATTGAAATAAAAAGGCAAGTATTTTGTATATATCATTTAACAAATGCATTTATTTAATATATTTATAGCGAAATTCAGTCGGAAAGCTTGAACAGGTTCTGAGGTTCACAAGTCCTGAGGACTTAAATGAACTTGGATAAATTACATGTTAAATAATAACAAAACATACCCATTTTTTCTACAGATCAATGGAAGCAAGGTGCAATAATTATGACTTGTGTGTGATTACTTAAAAAAGTCATTATTGCAAAAGCAACAGGTTGCAATAGTTGTAAACATAAACTTAACATTCATTTGTAGATTGTTTATTGCTGCTCTTCATTTCAATGAGAATGGAAATAAACCTCAGAAAACGAAGAATGATGGGCAAACAGAAGAGGCATTGATTTGGAGAGTGGCTTATTCAAAGTCAAAAGAAGGACAAGGGGTCATCAAACCAGTGAAAGTTGACAGCACTTATGGTTAGCACAGAAAAATAAACTTACCTTTTCTCAAAGTGCAATGCAAAGCCAACATAAATAATGACTTGCTTTTCAGGATATGTTAAGGACTTGATGAAAGAAGTTTTGTACTGCAGACGCATTAATCCATCACTGTCCAAAGCTCTTGATGTCGCTGGAGTGAAAGAAATACCTGTCCCATTGACTCGCCACAAAACGAAAATCAGCAAAGCTGAAGCCATTGAGCAACATAAATCTCGCTTTAATAAATAAAATGTAACTAACCATTCAACATTTCCAATTCTGTTCATCTTTGCTTTCCGATGACGAAGAATTGTCATCATTTTGACCACCTTGCGCGTTGGCCTAAAGCCTAGGCCACACTATCGTCCATATCGACGAAAATCAGAACGAAAACTGCCGCAACGAAAATCTTGAACGAAAACTCGACGAAAATTTCGTTTTCGTGCATATTAGAAGAGTTGAACTTTTGACCTTTTTTGTCAACGAAAACGCATACTATTGGCTAATAATATTAGACTTTGTACTCAAACTTGGCGGAGTGGCAAGAGGTTTTGATATATCAGGGCTAATAGACTTTCTAAGATGTGTGCCAACTTTAGTGATGTGAGGTCTAATTAAATCCAAAATGTAGTCAAAATTTGTCGTCGTCATTCGCAAGTATTTTATGTGTCTATTTTCATTGTTCGGCTCTCGTAATTCTTTAATCAAGTTGTTAAATAGTCCAAGACGATCACTTGGATGAATCCAGTATCGACGTTTGCTGCTGCTTGGATTCAACTTTAAAAGCAGTAACTTTTTCTTAAGAAGAAGTAATCTTTTTCTTTTAGAGATCGCCATTTTTTCTAATCCGTCAAAAATGCCGCTTGCTTATTGGCCAAAAAAGGTTTTGGCTTTGCAAACATGCTTGTAATTTTTCGTTGTGTCAGGCATGCATTTCGTGCACGAATTTTCGTTTCGTTTTCGTTTTCGTCAATATAGACGATAGTGTGGCCCAGGCTTTAGGCTGAAACATGTAAGGTTGTACCTCATTGTTATTGATGGCAATATTATAATCGGCTTCTTCAGAAGAATGCATTAATTTTTGATAAATAAAAAACAGTAATAGCAAACTACCGCGAAAGCCGTATAAGTCGTACAACGATATAAGAACGATGCTTGTTTATGTCAAGTAATACGTCACTCTTTCCCAGTTCCCAGACTTAAACAATCTCACGGCGTTTTAGCAATGGTCATCGAATATCGTGTTTTTACCGATTATAACCCTAAATATCTTTTGAAATATTTTGCGGATGACTTTGAAACTTGGTACGTCTTATTTTCACGCTATAGGCATGTGTCCTTAAGGAAATATCAAGTTACAATGTTTAACCTAACAATGCCATAGGATTGATTTCATACACTGTTGATAGCTATTTCATGTCTTGTTACCAAGCATGTACTCATCAATTCTCATGAGGAGATGGTAGTAGTGTGCTTGCCTTGCACCCCGCGTAGCAAATGCAAATTTTTAAATCTTGATCACTTGTCAATGATCTTTAGATCTTTACTGTATCAATGACTGAACTTTAAGATGTAGAAAAGTGGGTACGTATTTGTAATAATGCGTGACGTGGACTAAGCCGCTTGACCACATTCTCCAAACATTCGTCACCGACCAACCTACATATTTATGTATTTTTATATTATTGACTAATGCCACCTCAATACTGAGGACAAATTTTATCTTTTTGTTCTCAATACGTTTTTTGATCTATTTTGACCTTCGACGTAGAGTGATGCGGTCCTAACGAACTCATTCTTGGGAAAACTAGTATTTTGTACTTCGATTGAGCAGCTCAGACTAATCCGCTTAAGTTTCTTATGTGCACTTCATACAAATTAGATAAAGTTCATTTTCTTTTATTGCAATTAGCTAATTTATGAAACATTTAGGATACTCCAACTAGTTGTATCAATTTCTGAAACAAGTCAAAGTGAATTTGTATCTTGTGTGATTCTAATTAAAAACCTTTTCCCAAAAATTTGTGTTAATATTTCACGTGATTTTTGAAAGAAAGAATAAACCATTGAGCAATATAAAACATTTGTTATATTACATCCGTGCAATGTTTCCTCTTCAACTTAAGTACGTAGTATTTTAAAGGAACCATTTGCGGTTTCCCATTTGAAGAAAATGGCGTCAAGTTTCCTTCGTGAAGAGCGGCTGTAAAGTGCTACCTAAGCGCTTGGTGATAATATAAATATAACTGATAAGCTCGCTCTAGAGTCTGGTTTCAAATTCTATTGACCTTGCAGGTGCCCATCGTGTACTATCACTAATTTTTTGAAAATTGCTTATCGACGTTGAACAGGCGTAATTTACCATTTCATACTATTTGATGTTCTTGTTATGATATAGAATTCCAACAACAAATATTATTGTATTGAAAAGAAAAAGTAAATTTTAAATTTGCAATCATATTCTTGTGGTAGTCATCGTTCGAACAAAACAGGAAATCCTTTCATAATCTAATCTTAAATCTTCCTTTACCAAATTTTTATGACCTGTGAACATCGATATACTCATGAAAGGTGCTTTTTTCTTTTTTCTATTGCTTTTAACTTTTTGATGAATGGAAAAAATCAATGATGAGATGCGAAAAAAATGAAACGACCACATGTTCAATTGAAGTATTTTCCTTTGCAAAGATTAATTTTCAAGTACGTGTCATTAAACTCGGTGACACAGACATCACTAATCACACCTCAATGTGAAATTTATACTCTCGAATATGTTGTGATAAGAAAATTTACATAAATTTATTTCACACTTGCAGTAGTACATCTATCAATGCTATGTTTGTATTATGGTAGATTTTATAATATCATTGGTAATTTGAATACACTAGCTCAACAGACACCAAATATTACATCCGCCACACTATCTTATACAAAAACCAGATATTGACTATCAAACTTTTCGCAAGTATGAGTTTGAGCAAAATGATATTACAAAGGACATGCAAACTTTTCTCAAAATGCATTATCAAAATGCCGAATTTTTAAACTTTCAACAACTCGTTGGTGTGGTCTTGATAGCTCTTACCATAAGACTGGCGGCAAAACGAACTTCTTGCTTTTTCATTGGCTGTTTTCGAATGTAAAATGTTCTCTGCAAATAAACCAATCCTGTGCATGTTATGCTCATTACTATTCAGGCGCAACGTCCGTAGAGTGGTTAGTTTGACGGATATTAGACAAGTCGACCGTCGTAGTTTATAGCTAGAAGATCTTGTGTAAGTAACGAGCTCCTTCGGAAGCGAGGAGTAGATTTGGGTGAGTTTTGATTTATCTTTTAAGGCATGAAAAAGTTCTATGGGTCAATGCATAGCGTGGGATTGTTCAATTCTATTCCCAAAGGAGTGACTATTGACAAATTTACAATTTTTCATTGAGTTGTTGCTACAATTAGTCATTGAATGTTCCGTTTTAATAATGCAAAGAGAATATTTCAAGTGATTAGTTTGCTTAAGAAAAGCAATGTAAAGCAAAACTGTTGTTACAAATCAGCACAACAATTATTGTATCGTAATAAACAAAGTATTTGTTTGTTTCTAGCGTTTAAAAGGTAGTTGAATTACAAAAGTTAACCTCCCGAAAATGGTAAGTAGACCAAATGCAATTTGCATAACAAAAGACAGCATTTTTCTGAAAGGCTGTTCGCTGTGAAATGTTTTTTCTTGCTATGATTTTGCATTATACCATTGCTCATAAAACGGTATAGTTACATTTTGTTTGTATATAATTTTGCATTGTAGATATTTGATTGCGTTTTGTTTTCGCAAATTACCACCCCATGTGGCTACTAAAGTGTGAATATCCGAATGTGCTGTAAAGCTTTGCAGGTGTTTTGTGTTTCATTCAATGAAAGTTTCTTGATTATAGGCTGAAATACAGACGTACCTGTATGGAAAGAAGTTTCCAAACAGAATTTTTGTTGGAAGTCTTCCTCTAAATGTGAGTATTCATGAATGCTTTCCAGTTAGGCAGCTACACGTGCAGTTTTCTTTCAAATGTTGAGCGATTTTGTTTTGAAAAGGTTCATTTCAAAAAGACTTAGATTTGTTTTCATGATTCATTTAGATGTGTTGTACACAAGTCATGTCATTATTGTCTTGTCAATATTAAAATTAATCAAATTTTGAGCAGTCGTGTGTTTATTTACTATGAGTATCTCTCTCTCATTTGATTTCATATTTTTCTCTTTTTTAGACCAGCGCAGCTGAACTGGCAGAGTTCTTTGGTGTGTTCGGACACGTCACCGAAACAAAATAATTTTGAACCATTCAGGTCTATCCAAAGGGTTTGTGATCTTCTCGTGTATGCACTTGTAGTATGAGTTATTTTCGCACCATGATCAGCACGCAGCCAAATTTGCTTCATAAATTCCGATACAATATTTGAAGGAGAAGCCTATTATGCAAGCTTCCTTTTTTGGCATCATTGACGATTGTTTTAAAGCCATGTCAGGAAACAGTTGCAAATTAGGCCTGCGCTATACGGACGAATTTAATTCACACGAATTCAAATATCGCAATTTTATTCGACGATATTGGCTCTTCTATAACAACTTTTTCTGAAGTTTATGCCGAATCTTTCCACAATAAAGTTAAAATACCTTTCGAAACTCTAAAAGTACCTTTAAATTGCTTATCCGAGTAATTTTCCCAAATGTTACTCCACCATCCAATGTTTCTCGGTAGGCGACGACAACTTCGAATCCTTGGCTTCAGAGTGGTTATTGTTTTAACACTTGCCGTCACATTCAGTAGTGACAGAGCAGCTATAATTCTCATATACCTTCGGTGAAGTAGGGAGTAGTAGAACGCACCACTTAAAAAATCTTCTTTGTCGCTGTCTCAACCGACGTTTGTAAATTGTAAGCAAAGGAGTAATTTGTTTAACTGATGGAGGAGCCATCTTGTTTTTCCAAATCATGAGCTGTAGATAGGAGTCTGGGGACGAGCACGGAGTTTTATGAATTAAATTCGACAAAAAAATTCAACATATAACTTTGCCTTGAGTTTTTGTCGCATTATTGTCGAAGTTGATAAAATTAAATTCGTGTGAATTAAATTCGTCCGTATAGCGCATTGAGTTCTATAAAAAGAACTATGGAACTATAGAACTCAATGGTATAGCGCAGCCCTTAACGTGACAAGTGCGCTGCGAAAATACACACACCTCCACGTTTTATGTTAATGAGCCATCGTCATTGTTGCGAAACCTTATTTTTGCATCTACTTTTTGTTTCAGTTACGGTTTCGTCACGTTTGAGACGAAATCGACCGTCAAAACTATTGAAAATATCGATGTGATATATTTCAAAAATAAGAAAATAAACATCGGGCCGGCAGTTAGGAAGGAGGCCTCCTTCGTACAGCCAGAGTTAGTCTACTGGCCTCAAAATACATACATTCCCCAACAGGTAGGCGTATTTGCTTCGTTTTTGAATGTATTAAGTCATTGTTTTCATGTTTTATCGCGATCTGTTTTATAGACCCAATGTTACATGGGTTATTCACCAGTGATGGGTATGTGATTGATGTTTTGCTTATTAGTATTTTGCTTTTATTAAGGCATATTTTCCAATCGTTTGTAACTTTTTTTAGACCCTATTTATTGGAATTGTTATTTCTGCGTCAATCAGCAAGTTCCAAATGCCAGTAATGTAAGAATAAGATTGTTACTTGTTTTTTCACTTGGCGAATATTTTAAGACTCAAATTCGATACCCTTACTTCTTGCTCAGATTCCAGCTCAGACTCCAAGGATGGCGAGGAGATATAGAGCAAAAACTGACGTGCCTCCTCGATTCCGAAAAGATAGATTTTAACAAAGATTATAGGCCGGTAGGATGCTTTAGCGGTTTTAGACTTGTAGTAAGGTTTAACATATAGGTAATTCATAATGTAAAATGCCAATGCATTAGTATAAGTATCTTAGGTTTTAAGTTTTTCTATACCTAAAAGAGAAAGGGCATTTACCCATAAATGTTTCTTTGACATAAACAAAATAATTTTTTATGCACATCATATATACTTTGGTCTTCATAACAAGGAGCATAGTTTGATAGGGCATAAAAAAGCTATCTTTATGATGCAATCTGAGTCATTAGCCTCCATCATAAAGGTGTTTTTAATATATATGTGTTTTTTCATATTACAAAAACTAAGATTATAACTTAATTTGTAGATAGATAGATAGATAGATAGATAATTTTATTTTAACACACTTGCCATTGTCAACATACAAGTTGATTTCCACATGGGGCGTGTGCAAAAATGAAAATTACAATAGAATAGTGAACTACTTACATTTTACGATACACAAGACACTAAAATGTACATTAAATGAAGTATATCTAGGTTAGAAAGTATAGCTAGGTTACAATTGGGGTTTGCTATAACCCGGCGATGATCACGCGCCTATTAACTTCCTGGTCAGCGGCAAAAGCCTTGACATAATAATCGCTATAAGTACAATATGTTTCTTGTATAAAATTTCATAACACAAATCAACACAAAGTGTACAGCACAGCGCCCACATTGTATTGCATTGTATTATATGTTCTTTTGGCTTTACTTTCTTATTCATTTCTTCAGGAGTGTACATCCCCACTCTTGAAATGAAACATCCTGATAATCTCAGCGGTCTTTCTCCTCTAAAAAGTAGGAAGTACAGCGATGTTTATTTACACGATTTATGAATAGTTTGATAATGTTGAAAGTTGTGAATATTTTACCAAAATTTGCTACTTAAAATACATACGGAGGTCCATCTATTAACAGTTTCTTTTGAAAAAAATTGCTAAATGCGGAATATTTTGCATTTCTTTTTTCTGCTAATTTACAGTAGTACCTATAAATAAGAATGTAAATGTTTTGACACATTAGCCATGCATTTAGAGTGACTTTCGTCCTTTATTTCAGCTACACCTAGATTTTTGGGTAGTGCCTTGACAGGACGTCTACGATGGTGTCGCATACCCAACTATTATCATTTAGTGTATTCAAATCTCTTTTGTAAATGCTTATACCACCGAAACAAGCAACTCTGGAATCAAAATGAAAACGTATCAAGAATAAAAGGAGTCATTCTTATTTTCTTTATGCGTGTCTAAAATATGTTTTAAAACAAAAAACCTCTCATTTTCTCCATTCCAAGTTCTCCTAGAGAAAAAATAAGAAATACAAATATCTTAATATACGTATGGCACAAAAGTTTAGAATCACTCAGATTTTTATTTGGCAAGAAATGTTGGGGAAAAAACCTGTAATTTAAACTTTTATGCTGCGTTGGGTGTCGAGTTTGTCGTTTTTCCCATTTTGGCTCCAAGAATGCAAACAGGTCCTTCTTTATTTTACAAAGAGTAAAAGCCACACTGCCTACTCCTTGCATAGCTTGGCAAACAGAAGGTAGATATATTTGAAAAACCTCGTACTTAGGACACCACACCTCCAACGATGCACTAAGTGCCCCAGCAATACACATGAAGTGTGTATCTTTCAAGTCAACATCTATGAAAAAGTTAATTGAGCTTTTATCAGAACGGCATGTTGTATCAAAATTAAACTTATAATCACTTTATTCAATTTAAAACCGTAGAATTAAATGGTGTGTACGGCGATTAATTAGGTTATTCGATAATACCTTCTTCCAGGAAATTATGAATTTCAGACACAATTTTCTTGCCTGCAGTTTCCTTATTCGTTTGCCTGGTGCGCTATAATAAAAATCAAATCTCAGTTCATTTGAATTATTAAGGATAAATCTATATGTGAAATGATGTATTATTAAGTAAATTTTTTAGGTGGAGCAAAAGTCACCTCTAGTGCTAAATGATGTTGATGGGAAATTCCGTACAGGAAGGCATCAAGTTTCAACCTGTCAGGATCCGTACTAAGCGCCTCAAAAATATTTCCTGGCTCACTGGCATCATAGCCTTGAGGCAAACCCATCGCTTCCATCTTACTCGATCTATAGAATAAATACGTAATCACAAGTAAAATGTTTTAAAAATATTTAAGTATAAACTTTAAATGTGAACCTTAATGCATGAGTTATAGGTTGATGATGACTTTCGGCGGATTGCAACAATTCCTGAGAAATTTCACAATTTCACATTTTTGCCTGAATCCAGAAACTATACCACATATTTCCCCTAAAAGATCCACTGTCGTAAAAACACTTTGCAAAAGTCTTCCAGAGAAGTAAGAATTACTATATTGCGTATTGTTTATCTTGATACATATAGATCTTAACTCAAATTTACCTTTTCATACATATCTTTGATATTTAAGTCTGTGCTTTCGGTCTAAATTCAGAAATTGCATAAGATTTGATGATGAAGAAAAGATATCTAAATATTAATCTCATTCCTTTTCTTGCATCATGAAATGTTCCTCTGGTCCCATTTCGTCTTCTTCGTTTCCTTCTTCTTTAAGATATTTCTCTGTGTTGTGCTCGTAGTCCATATCTTCATCTTGAATTTCTTCTTCGTCGATATCTTGTTTGAACTCGTCTGCTTTCTCCTCGTTTATTTCCTCTATTTCAGTTTCTTTTTCCATGTCCTGGTACTCTTCTTCGATGTTTTGTTCATTAAACACATCAATTTATTAATAGGATGTGTAATCACATAAAGTGTGGAGAGCGTATCGTAAAATACAATTGACGTATTCTTTTTAGGACAATTTATTTTCTTTTTACATTTTTACATTTGATTATTCAAAGTATTATCTTACGTCTGTAATGTAATTCCAATAGGATAGGACGATTTCGGTTAGTTCTGCCTTGTTGAGAACTTTCCTGAAAATTATCGTTGTTGCCATCTGCAAGAATTGCAATCAATTTTAAACATGGTTTAGAAAACATAAATAAATAGACAAAAATAAAGGACATAAGTAAATCATTAATTAAACCTAGTGGAATCTTTTTTCTTGCTGATGGTGAACAAAACGGTATGTGTAACGGCCAAAAAGATGGTTGTTCTGCTTTGGACCAAAAATTTTTAATTCGGGCTACAGGCCATTTGTTTCCTCCCTTAGACCCTGTAGCAGTATAGAAATATTTGTCTCTGCTTATGTTTTACAAACATGAAACTTAATTAAAAATGAAACATGTTTGTGCCTGAAAATGCTGATGAAGGAAGAACCATATTAAGCACGAGGTTTCTGAGTTCTTCACACGACCATTTTCCTCTTCTTATTTCATCAAAAGTTTCAGGGTCGATTAAATCAGGTCGAACTCTTTTTGACTTAATACGTTTTCATTGTTTGCTATATAGATATTTTAAACTTCACAATTGTATATGTCAAATGATCATATATATATAACAGTGATGCTTATTTTTAATATCAGAGAATTAAAAAAGCAGTAACAGTATTCACCAGATGACGTTCTTGAAGACCCCAAATCATTTTCAATATTAAAACACACTTGAGAAAAACGACGATTTTTTTGAGAGCAAACATGTTTCGACATTATCAGAATGCCATCTTCAGTGCATAGTGGTTAGTGTTAAGTAATATGATACGTAATATGATATGCATAAATTAATTACAATGAATAGGATTATGATTCAGTTACTAAATATAAAATATTTACAAAAAAGGAAAAGAAAAATAAGTATTAAGAACTTATAACAAGAAATATTATTATAAAGTAAATATAGTGTTGTAGTGGTGAACTTGGATATTTAAATCGGGATTAGTTTTATTAATGTGTTGAGCTTCCTTGATTTTGAGTGAGAAAGTGGATTGATCAGTGTCGATGATTTTAAAACAGGAAGGTGAGAATTTGTTTTTACATGAAGGAGAGGCTTGAAGATGTTTGTAGATAGTGGAGTTTTGTCTGTGTGAGTATGTTCCTTTATCCTGGTAGATAATTGGCGAGAAGTTTCACCAATATAGCGGAATTACATCCCGCACATGAAAATTGATAAACTACCATAGATTTGGAAAGTTCGGAAGTGGGTCTTTAAACGAAAATAAAGATTTTATTTTAAAAGGTGTGAAAATAAGTTTAACGTCAATGTCAGTGCAGTAGCGTTTAATGATTTGTGTGAGTTTGCGTTGTGTGTGTCGTGAGTAATCACCTATGTAAGGTAGTTTGAAATAACGTTTATTGTCAGGTTGTTGTATATCGTTAGTGTTAGTTGTGGCGTTAGATGAGTCAGTGCTTATCTTGTTGTCCAAATAGTGTTGTATAGTGTTGTTGATGAAATGAAAAGGAAAAGAATTACGTTGGAGAGTGAATATTAGTTTCTTTAAATCACGTTGAAAGCCGATGTCTGTGTTGTTAAGTTTCCGTGCTCTGTCGGTCAGTGTTCGTATCAGTCCAATTTTGTAATTTAATGGTGTGAAACTAAAAAAAGTTAGTCAGTAGTCCTGTATATGTTGGTTTGTGGTACGTAGAGGTCATACAGTTTTCATGTGATTTAGTTAGTAAGATGTCAAGAAAGGGTAACTGATTGTCTTGTTCGGTTTCGTATGTAAAGTTTATGTTTTGATGTTGTTTGTTGATGTATTCGTAAAAGAGTAATGCTTCGTCTTTGTTATGAAAAATACAAAAAATGTCGTCAACGTATCTGCGGTAAAATAAAGGTTTGTTGTTGCCGTAGTTATTTAACCAGTTTCGTTCGTGAAAACCCATGAAAATGTTTGCTAGAATGGGTGCCAAGGGTGAGCCCATACTTACCCCGTCAATTTGGTCGTAGTACTTACCGTTAAATAAAAAATGAGTCTCGGCCGTAGCGATGTTAAACAATAGTTTTAGTTCTGTTCTGTTCATTTTGAATGTAGGGTTGTTGGTAAAAATTAAATCAATAGCAATGTCTATGGTTTCGGTCAGTGGTATGTTGGTAAAAAGGCTTTCAACGTCAAAAGAAATAAAGAATTTGTCATGTGGAGCGTTAGTGTTAAAAGATAAAAAATCATCGACAAGACTATATTTCAATATATTTGCATACTTCAATATATTTGCATACTATATGGCTGGCAACGTCCAACACATCTTCGCGCAACCCAGGACTTCCTACAACACAGAATGGGTTTATTTCAATACAGTTAAACATATGCATGTTCAAGTAGTGAACTCAAAAATCAATAACCTGCTGTTCGAACATTTCCGTTCCCATCCAAATATAATAAAACAAGAGGACCGATTCGATTAGTCTGGGACACTTTATGGCGCGCTGATACAGACAAAAATACTTCTTCTAAAGATCAAACTTCTATTTCAAATTTATTACTATGTTTGACATAGAATTATAGTACTTCTGAAAAGTTTAATACTTCTATTTCAAATTTATTACTATGTTTGATATAATAAAATTATAGTACTTCTGCACCCGCACTGCAAAAGAAAGAGCATCCCCGCTTCATTTTATGCTTTTGTAAACAGCTCTGGAGGTTTGTGGTCCTTACTTTACATCATGCCCGTGAGGAAATACATTTTTCTTCTCAGGACAACCGAGAACTTGTGATTTTTGTTTCTTATTTAATATTTTAATCTAATACAAACTTTTTGGTGGTAGCAATTGAGTCAAACGACAACGTTGAAACTGTTACCGATAATCGCATGGCAAGATTGAAACAGAAGAGGAAATCTTTGCGTGATATTTTAAATCAGAAATACTGTAAGTATGAACATGTAACTAATTGTAAAACTTTTTAGATGGAATATGAAAAGGTTGTTCTTGGTCAATATTTCTTGAAATAAGTACAATTAATTCTGCACGAAATTTTGTAATATTTGAAGCAATGATTAGTAAAAGAGGTTGAACACAATCCTGCAGCAATTTCAGAAACAATAGCTTATACTAGTTTCAAAAAAAACATTCTAGGTGAAGCAACTGGAATGGACAAAGCAAAAGTGCCATACACTTCTCTTTTGAAAAGGGATTTCAAATATGTAGTATGCGGAATTCCAGAACACGCATCATTACGGGATCCATCGACTATGGGAGAAGAAGCATTGGATTTATTTATTGAAAAATCAAATGAGCTTACGTTTGTGGAAAGGGAGATAGTGGAAGGAAATAATGTTCTTCATGCAGAAAATGTTGAGGAATGTGACAAAGAGCAAGACAATGGCGGCCACATCCAAGAAGTTGTTGAAGTTAGTGGTGAGAATGATGATAATAGTCATGGCGAACTTATTAACGTTTCCGACGAATATGATGTTGGCCATGGACAAAGAACTGATAATGTTAATAATGGTTGTGAAAATGGTGATGTTCCCGGTGATAGAGAAGATGTTGTAAATAATGGTGGCGATGATGATGGTAATTCTGGGAATGTATTTTGTGGATGAGACGGAACAGTTAATGAAGGTGACGGACACCTTGTAACAGAAAACGCCGTGCCTAAAAAAGTTGATAAAGAACACAGGAAGGGAAGAAGTAACAACAAAAGAAAAAGAAAAGAGGCAAAGTCCAGTGACAGAGAAAGTGTGTCTTTTGCAAAGAAAAGAGCTAGTCATTTGAGATCCTATGACAAATGTAAAGCCTTTCTTTGTCAAGAACCATCTTCCAAAGATATTGGAATGGTCGATTGGGTGTTGTGTGATGTTTGTCAACAATGGTACCATTGGGATTGCGTTGGCATTACGACGAAGCCGAAAGGAAAATTTGATAGCGGATGCAATGTATCTTACTTTACTCATGGGTAAATTATACATCTACTTTTTCTAAACTACGAACTGTTATTCTGTTCATTTTTGCGTATCACCGATTTATTTGCATACGTATTCATAATAGTTATTAATACGTTCCTCATGCTCTTAAATGTTTCATTTCTAAAATGTGAATTTCTTGAACACGCACGAATAAATATATTTATTTCTTTTATCTTTTCCTTGACAGATCTGCGAAAACATTTGACATAAATATAAAGGGAAATCGCTCATTCAGAGGATTAAAGGTTCTCTTAGAATTTAAATTATTTAATATCAGTTGCAGATAAACATACCTATAATATTTTAACATTGAATTTTAGGCACATTTAACAAAAATCGTCAACGGTGCGATACCCAGTAAACGCCACAGGTTATTTAAGCAAATGATCCGTGGGCGAAATCAAGCTCAGACTGAACTCACCGATCTCTACATGACGTGTCCTTTAACTCGAACTCAAGTATAAAAACACATTCTCTGTTAGAAATGGAGCCCCACTAGTGTCTTAACTCGTCATTTTTGTATATATAGGCAAACGATCTGTTGAATGTAGTCAAAGAAATAGTCACAGATATTTTTCGATCCTTTGATGAAACAAATTCAATGAACATCAACTACATGTATAACGTTTTATTCCCTGAGGTTTGTTGTTCATCTAACGCCAAATTCCAAGACGTTTTTTTGTTGTGAAAGCTATGTGACAGTGAAACTATGATATTTTATATAGGCCTGCATATATTGTATACGAAAAACTGAGCGTTGTCTCCGAAATAACGCTGAAAAAATTTATAATTGTGCAAGTGGAGTTCAAGACGGTGCAGACTCTGAAAGTGACTAACCTTGTTATCTACCGAAGTACCTGAAAGCTGTAGTGGATCTTGTAGTGGATCTCTTATGACTCAATGTCGTCTAAATATATGCTATTGACGATGAACTAGCGCTGTTTTTATAGTTTAGGTTTACTGAATAAGATTTTCTTTTTTAGCTAAGTTCTATTACTTTATCAAAAAATAATGAATTCTCGTACAGAAAACAATTATACTTCAATTTTGTCTACAATTAAAAGTTTTTCAATTTTGTCTACAATTAAATGCGTTGAAAAAGTTTTTTTCAACGCATTTATTATCCAGCGTACGTACGTTGGACGGCTATTACCCATGTATATATAACATCCATTTTCACCATATACTACATTGTATAACTACCAAATAAGTTACATACGACAGTTCAACAAGTATTTATTTAACAAAAAGTTTTTTTCAACGCATTTATTATCCAGCGTACGTACGTTGGGCGGCTATTACCCATGTATATATAACATCCATTTTCACCATATACTTCATTGTATAACTAATAAAACGTTTTTTCAACGCATTTATTATCCAGCGTACGTACGTTGGGCGGCTATTACCCATGTATATATAACATCCATTTTCACCATATACTACATTGTATAACTACCAAATAAGTTACATACGACAGTTCAACAAGTATTTATTTAACAAAAAGTTTTTTTCAACGCATTTATTATCCAGCGTACGTACGTTGGACGGCTATTACCCATGTATATATAACATCCATTTTCACCATATACTACATTGTATAACTACCAAAAAGTTACATATGACAGTTCAACAAGTATTTATTTAACAAAAAGTTTTTTTCAACGCATTTATTATCCAGCGTACGTACGTTGGGCGGCTATTACCCATGTATATATAACATCCATTTTCACCATATACTACATTGTATAACTACCAAAAAGTTACATATGACAGTTCAACAAGTATTTATTCAACAAAAAGTTTTTTTCAACGCATTTATTATCCAGCATACGTACGTTGGGCGGCTATTACACATGATTTCGTAACAACTTTTCAAGTGCCCTTTACGTAAATTGATTTTCTAATTAAAGGATTTTCAAGAGCTTAAAGTGCCTGCACAATTCCCGTTATACATCATCGCTGGTGCTTTCATAGTCGTCTTCACTTGTTTGATCGTCTTCAGAATCCACTTGTTCATATACAACCACTTTTTCTTCGTCATCCAGAGCCGACACCAGATCACTTTGAAGCATGTCAACATTCCCATGAAATAAATACTGTAGTTTGTCTTTGTTGATGTACAAAGAAAACCTTTTTTCTAGATCTATCAACATGCTTTCAATTTGAAAGATCTTCCTGTGTAAAATATCAGCTTCACCGTATTCAACATCAAGTACGTTTTCATGGTTAATAAAACTATTCAAAAAGTCAGTAATCTTGCTGTGCTGTTGAAAGTAGTGACTCCACGTATTTTCCATTTCTGACTTCAACAGGATTTGCTCTTCCTTGGATCGGTCAAGCAAATGGCATAAATCTATAGCCTTCCGTTTAACAGTAAATGGAACTGAACAATCTTCATCAGTAGGTGCAGCTAGATATTCACACCAAAATCATTGTCAGGATCTTTGACAGCATCAAATGTTAATGCGGTATGTGAATGATTAGAATGTGATTCTTTGCCTCGTTATAAGCTGCGATATCTTTATTGACATCCTTTGTTACTCGAGTAATTTGCTTCGAAAGTCTGGATGCCAACGCTTGACCATCTGAAAAACAGAACAAACATACAGAGAACATTACAAAGAAGGCAACATGTAAAGTAATTTACAAACATTGCAAGTGGTATGGAACATTTATGAGATACGTAGAGTTACCACAGTATTTAGACTTAAGATTTAGGAGAAACCATCTTTCAACAACATTTTTCCTCATTCGAGACAAAAACGTTTTTCTTTCCTAGACGCAACCTCGCGTTTTGCATTTTCGTACTCTGAGTCAGTATTTTGCCAGCGGGCAGAAATTGAGTTTTCCCTTTCCATGATCTTCAACTGCTCGTCAATTCTAAACAGTAAATACCAAATCATTACAAATATAAGGCACGGTCAGATAAGCACCTGCAAGTTGCATATACATCTCTACTTGTACGTACGTATAAAAACAAGAAATAATTTTTTATTCGATATTCCAACTTATTATTCACAATGTTACGACGTACATTCATAGCTTCAAAATTTTCCCAGTTCATTTTTCCAAATTCACACTGTTTAAGACTTTAATATCTCTAGCAACAAGTTCAACTTTTCGAACATACTTTTTCATCTGATTAAATCGAACAGTCAGTTCACTTGGATCAGTGCAACCATTCCATCAATGGTAAAGATCAGCGTACAAGTCCAGGTATATAACGTACTTGCATTTCCAATCTTCTTCTTCTGTAAGTTGTTGAAGATTTACGTATATTTGTTAAAAAAAGTTTTCTGTGGGCAAAACATTTCCACATAATGAGCATCAATAATTATGTGTCAAATCTGTTCCATAGCCACAAGCCATTGTTTCTCAATTACTAACCAGTCTCAACTTCACGACCAAAAAAAGTCGATTCGTCCTTCATCCACTCACGAATATCATCTATTGAAATCCTGTGAGTCGTAAATAGTTCATATCCAAAATCGGAGTCAAATATAACCACACAGCAAATACAAACATATACTCACACGGAAAGCACCTGCATAACTTTTCAATATCCGATTTTGCAGTTTCTTCCACGTCAACAGCTCGCTTCATCCTTGCTATCAGCAAATTGCCTCAAAAAACAAAATTTAATTCATACCTGCTATTACATAATATGATGACATGTTAGCTATGTATATGTTCAAACAAAGAAACAAAAACTAGTTATACCTAAATTAATCTTCGTTTTCTTTCCATAATGTAAAAGAGCATCACTGAGTACATCAACTCTGTGACTTGGACGCATTTCTTTAGTCATTCTGCTAAATTTGCGAATGTAAGCCCACAATCTCTCCAACATCTCACCGTCAGTTAGGCCAAATCCTTCTTTACGACGGGGACTAAATTTAACCTTTTACAAGAAAGATTTAGCAAACAATTATTGATTTTTTATCATTTTATCATCTACAATACCATTAGTTATGACAGCATAAAAACCCAGGTATCACCATCTGTTAATACGTATGAAAAATAAAAACAATAACAACTAACTTGGCATCGTCCAACATGGCCATAGCAGTGAAAAATTGGAATTGAAAATTGAAAAATGTCAATAATTGGATACTCCAAATTCTTTTTGTAAAAAACAAAATAAAGAAAAACATGTGAAAGACTACATTTTCAAAGAAAAAAAGTGTTGAGGGAAAGTTATTGACTAAGGAAACAGTTAACAAAGCAACTATTGTCAATTGAATATTACCTGTAAGTGTTTCACCAACATGCATGCAACATCATACAATATGTTTATTTTGAGTGCAGGTTTATCAGCATTATCTTTCTCTAATTCTTGGAGAACATAAACTGCATAGCTCAATCTATAAAATATGCAGAAAATTTTTTTAAATAATACAACCACATGTATACAAAAAGCTTCAGCATTTGCACAAAGCAATGAAAGTAGCAAACCAACTGAAAAAAATTAATTTACACCATCAAACGCAAGCATCTTAACCACCTCTTTCAAACCAAGAACATTTAGGTAAAAATAGAGAAAAATGTGTGTAACAGACCTCTCTCCATGCTTCAAATTTAAGAATTTTTTAGGAAACTCATGTCGACAGCCTCCTTAAAGATTGCTGTTTCATCAAGAGCTCTGTAGCGATTCATTGATCGAACAGCATTCCCAGCAAGAAAACCATGACACTCCTATAAGTATCAATATGTAACAAACAAAAAGTATACAAGAGCTTTATTTCCTAAAGCCCATGGCACAAATTTATTGAAAATAAAACTATGTGGTAGAGAATGTAAAAAATCAAATATATTCAAAGCACTGTAACTTCCATGCCTGAATTTTCATTAGAATAACAAAGTATATTAAAGCTACATTGACCTTGTTTGGTGTAGGTGTGGTATAATTGGCAACAAATTGATCAACATGTGTCTGATCATAGAAAATCAGCTGTTCAAATAGAGGTTTTCTAATACTCTGCCCAGCTTTTCCTTCGTCCAATAAAAAGAGCATCAAGAGACTCAAAGATCACACCATCAGTCTTCAATAAAATGGTGAAGGATAAAATCATACAATGTATTTGAGTTCAATGATGCAAATGATGCAGTCAAAAAGGTGTTTAAGATAGCATTGCTAATGTTCTTTTTACTAAATTGTCATTGTCAAACAAGTAATACGAATATACTCACTTTGGGACAAGCAGGACAGATATTTCCTTCATCAAGCTCAGGAATAACACAGCTCAACATGTTTAGTTTGTCTGTAAATTCTGAAAAAAACAATGACACAAAGAAAGCAATTATGCACTCTTAAACAAATGAAATAAACAAAATACAGTGCAATACAGTAATAGTTGAGGAAAAATCCTTTCCCATCATGAACTTTAGCATTTTGATTTCCTCCAATTAAATACATCTCTTAAGATGAGATTCTTAGGCTATAAAATTGACTGCAACTTTCCCAGCAATTCATACGTAGTACAGCAGTGCAATAAATCAGTGACCTACATGCAATTACCTGTATTCTTCAAAAGCATCTATAATGACAGGATACATTTTTGGTGTTGCATAAGAAGAAAATATGTGGTTACGATTAAACTCTTCAAATGACTGACAAATGCTTTTTATTGATGCCTGGCATTCCATCTGCACAGAATGAACCAATTCAAAAAACTCAATTGCAAATGCAATTCTTGGTTTTGTAGGTGTTCCACCCAAAGGCCAAATTGCAGGAGTTGAACAAACTCGGAAGAGCATGAGCAAAACTGTACCTCAACAGTACAAAAGGTGCCTAAAAATTGAAAAAGATCCAAAATTATAATTGTGTTGAACTATCCCAGCTAAAATGAAGAAACTTTTACAGCACATTTTACATATAACATACCTTTAACATCAACAACAGAAACACTTCTTTTGTGACGAGCTGTTTGGCATGAACAATCATACACCAGCATGTTCATGAGTTTATATGGCCAAAACATGCCATCCTACAAAGCAATGAATAACCTCGTAGAAATTAGTTGTAATCAATCCCCTTTCTTGCATTCACAAAAAATATTAGATTAGTGCTTTTTAGCATGTTTCACAATGTAAACTCTCATTTTATTTTTGCATTTTTTATCGCAAGTGTTGAGAGAGTTAACTGTAAACACTTTTATAATGTTTTGCCATGGTTTTGAAACTACCATTTGGCTGAACATTACATTTTTGTTGTACTGAGCATATGTAAGATTTAAGAAGGAAAGTCATGCTGCTATGCAATAGGACGACTGCGTGTTAGCAAAAGTCATCTTACACAAAATTGCATAATTGTTTGCAAATATAACATCAGCATTTGCTTGTTTCAAATGCGCATAAAGAACTTTATTTTCATATTTAATGAACGTAGAAACACAGTCCACAACGAAAAGCAACAAATTTTTAGCAAGAAACCTTCCACAACGACAAGCGTAATTTCGTCCAATTTTGTGAGACATAGTGCTTTAGCCAATTATAGCATTTGCAATGTTATAATTATTACTCGTACAATTCAAATCATTACAAATCTCTTAGTTTGTTCTTTGCCACAAGTTGTTGAACAACGTCAGTTTTTCGAAATTTTCAGATGCAGAAGGCTCCTGAACCTTTGTATTCAAAAGAACTGTCGTCTTAAATCGTCTTTATCGACTTGAAAAGGCAACAAGAAAAGATTACCGACTTTTGCTTACTTTCTTACTTATTTACTCCGTGACTTATAACTTATTGAATTATTGTACGCATGATCACAACGATAACTTATTGAGTTATTGTACGCATGATGACAACGATAACTTATTGAGTTATTGTACGCATGATGACAACGATAACTTATTGAGTTATTGTACGCATGATGACAACGATAACTTATTGAGTTATTGTACGCATGATCACAACGATAACTTATTGAGTTATTGTACGCATGATGACAACGATAACTTATTGAGTTATTGTACATGATGACAACGATAACTTATTGAGTTATTGTACGCATGATGACAACGATAACTTATTGAGTTATTGTACGCATGATCACAACGATAACTTATTGAGTTATTGTACGCATGATGACAACGATAACTTATTGAGTTATTGTACGCATGATGACAACGATAACTTTTGAGTTATTGTACGCATGATGACAACGATAACTTTTTGAGTTATTGTACGCATGATGACAACGATAACTTTTTGAGTTATTGTACGCATGATCACAACGATCACTTATTGAGTTATTGTACGCATGATCACAACGATAACTTATTGAGTTATTGTACGCATGATCAGAACGATCACAATCGCAAAAACTGTTGTCGTCATGTTTGTAATATGCAAATAAGTGTGAAGCAACGAAGGAATTTCGTAAAATGTACCGAACGACGGAATGGGGCAAAGTTGTGCACCAACGAAGGCACCACTTTTTACACAATTTAACTTACTATAAATTTACCAGATAGTTTGTGAAAATTCATTAAATGTTTCAATACTTTTTAGCAGATGGAAAATACCTCAATTTCAATTATTGCACATTGCAAATAAACAAGGAATTTCGATTGAAATTTATTTTCAACATGAGTCGAGTCAAATAAAATAAATAAGCTTTCTTACCTCTCACAGCAACCTCTCTTCTGAAGAAGAAATCTCATACACTTCACAAAATAGGTCTTACTCTGACGGATTACAATGAGAAATTCTGGTTTATGTTCACTCCTTTGCCAGCCATCGACAGCCGTATTTTATGTCAGAATAGTGAGCGTCGATGTACATAAACAGTTACAAGAACCAATCAAAACCTTGCGATTTCATCACCCAACGAAAATTCTGACTGCGTCGAGCTCATGACATCGTCAGTTATCACTTACACTTTGACTTTCGTGATGGAAACATCTCCCAAGAGTCAAAATTATTACAATCTCTTAGTTTGTTCTTTGCCACAAGTTGTTGAACAACGTCAGTTTTTCGAAATTTTCAGATGCAGAAGACTCCTGAACCTTTGACGACTACACATTTACAATAGTTTCACTTCAACGACTACACATTTACAATAGTTTCGCGAATTGTTTAACTAAATGGTGTTCAAGTCAACTGCAGGGTCGTGTAAGATAAAAATAAAACACAGTATGTGCCTTTTAAAATGTTTTTGAACAAACCACAATTATTTATGCTCCATCATGTTTTTCTTAAGTTCCATCATGTTTCCATCATGTTTTTATGCTCCATCATGTTTTTTTTAAGTTATGTAGCTATCAACGCATGAGAAAAACAGTGTACAAAAAGACAAGTAATGCTACTGAGTAAGTTATGTAGCTATCAACGCATGAGAAAAACAGTGTAGGAAATGCCAAGGTAATGCTACTGAGTAAAATATGTAGCTATCAATGCATGAGAAAAACAGTGTACGAAATGCCAAGGTAATGCTACTGAGTAAGTTATGTAGCTATCAATGCATGAG